TAAGGTTAGGACTTCTGGGAATACTTCTTAAAAGCTAGTGATCCACGGCTGGCATGCCATTCCTGTTCTGTAGGCTTTCTTCTGTTCCTGCATGGAGCTCCATAGGTGTGGTGGATGAGGGTTCATTTGTCTTGTAAGCAATGTAGAAAAGGCAAGAGAACCACAGGTATTTCAGCGGGACCCCAGTCTTGTAATTGTTTCTTTCATGAAGTCAATATTGCTTATAATTGGTTGCTTACTAAAATCTGCAACTGGGATATATAGATTGTGGCAGGATCGTGATTCTATTGCAAAATCCAGATGTATTGCAAATGCATTTTTCAAAAAGATTGGAGAGCTGTAAAAGCAAGTTTATGATAGTAAGTTTCTAGATAGGGAAGAACCATTCTCAGGTAAGGAGAACAGCAGTTATTTGTATGGGAGCCTTGGGTAGAGGGACTCTTCTGAGAGAAAGAGACATGAATGTATTTTTAGTGGCAATGCAGGGAAAGAGTAAAACTAGGAAACTTGAAGGTACTCAATATGTGTTTTGTTTTCTCCCTTGGGCATTAACCAAGTTTGGGTTCTACACAGGTGGCTGAGGACTAAGTAGAAAGTTTCTAAAAGACAGCAAAATTCTTGGTGTCTCATGGCATTTATAAAACAAAGACTCACCAACAGACCTCCATTCAACATACAGCTGGTCTTTTCTTACAGACTTTCACATTTCAAAATGTATAGGACAAGAGGGTCAAAAGCTGAGCTGAGAATCTTCAAAGGCAGAACTCAAAGCTCTCAAAAGTTCAGGAGGGCCTGAGGAAGAGATGACCCAGAGAGATTCAACCCTAGTCTGGTTACCTAATTTGAGGTTGAGGTAACAAACTTCTCTTTCTATATGCTAGCAGAGGACAGGAGAAACTGTCTTTGGTGAAAGATAACATTATTTGGAGAGTCACATCTTTTTCTTCTCAATGCATTTTTATTGTATTTTTGTGCATTTCATAAATACATCTTAATCATATTTAGACTCCCTCCCTCACCTGCACCCCTTGGTCCTCCCCCCACTGGATTTCATGCATTCTGTCATATATGTTAAAACCTATCCATTTGTACCCAGATGTTCCCACAGTGCAAGTTCTTCTGCTGATGGGGGGGGTCAAGTTATCTTGTCTAGAGTCACTCCTTTAAAGAAGATCAACTCTCCCTCACCTAGCAGTAATCAGCTGCCAATAGTTCCTTGGTTAAGGCTGGGTACTGCTGCCCTTTTCCCCAGTTTTATGCTAGGTTTTTGTCCAGTTGAATATGCATTGGTCTTTGTATGCTGTCACCATTGCTACAAGATAATATCATTAAAAAATATGTAGACTTTCATATAGAATAAAACCCCCAGATATTTGATGAGGGAAGACAAATATGACCTGTAAGGAAGAACAGCAGACTTTGAGGAGATGTTATAGATAAGTTTGCAGATAAAACATTTCAAATAACTTTGATTAATATATTTCAGATAGAGTACAGTGTAGAGAAATAGATGAAATGATAGAATGTTTATCAGAGAATTGGAATCTATAAAAATAAAAAAAATATGCAAGTAAAAAAGTATGAAATCAAGAACTCAATAGATGTATGAGATTGCATGTAAAGGACCATAGATTTAATGAGTTAGAAGATAGCTCAAGAGAAAACATCCAAGTTAAAGCTTAATAGGACAAAAGGTTTTAAAGAACAAATTAGAGCACAGCACAAGGTATAGTGGTGTGCCGAAAAACCCATCTTGGGGGAAAAGCATTAATTTGCTATATTTTCCAGTTGCCATGGTTCAAATTCTCTTATCATGGATGATTTCAAGCAACCAATGAGTTAACAACTGTCACTCAAAATTCTTGGGTATTTAATAGTTTACCCTGGCAAGCTGGTGCTGGCATACTAGACATTTAGATCATATGTACAAAGTCTAAAATATGTTCAATTTTAGATCCAGAAAGAGAAAAGATATTGAATATATAAAAGCAATTTTGAGTTGAATGTAATCTGTAAATATCACATAACTTGTAAAATAACTTGTTATAAGAACTGCCATGAACCTAAAGGGTGGCAAATACCAAGAAGAGCATACCCGGGCACATCAAGATGCTGTCAATCAAGATTTGATGGAATGGATGAAGACTCCCAAAGAGATACGTCTATGTTCTGATATCCAGAATTTAAGGATGTTAGTGTTTAAATTAAGGATTTTTGAGATGAGTTCAAGACTACTTAGTACAGGTTAGTCCTAACAGTTATATTATGTACCTTCTATCACTGTAAAGAAGTATACAAATTATCTGAGTTTCATTAGTTATAAAGAAGGTATATTACTAGTGACCTTATAGGCATAAAATATACAAGATAGTTTTTATGAGCAATTTATTATCAACATATTTGGATGAAATGTCTATTTTATATTGGAAAACACAACTAACTAAAGCCAACAGAAGAAGAGATAAAAACATATATAGTGCTATGCTAATTAAAAATATTATCAGGGTTGGGGATTTAGCTCAGTGGTAGAGCGCTTGCCTACCAAGCACAAGGCCATGGGTTTGGTCCTCAGCTCTGAAAAAAAAAAGTTTATCATTGTAAAACAACTACCTATGATTAAAATTTTACATTTGGTGGATATGTAAATGGAATCTTACAAATGTTCATGGAACAAATAAAACAAGTGTTTGATAAGTTTTTTATAAGATAGAAAACCATGAATGCTTTTTTGCTTTTTAAAAGGACAGCCATAACCTTGATTGATTCAAAATCTGCCAAGAAAATTACAGCCACAAAGCAGTTTCAGACAACTGTCTCATAAAAGTAGACACATGTGAAAATTGACATCCAGCTATATTTATAAAATATAAAACATGATTAGTGGATTTATTTCACAGGCATAATGACAGTTTAGTACTCCTAAAACTAACAGAGAAGGGGCTGGAGATTTAATTTAGCTGGCAGAGTGCTTTTATAGCATATAGGAAGCCCTGGGTTGGATCCCTATCACCACATTAACCAGGTATGGTGGTGCATGCCTATAATCTCAGTCCTGGGGATGTGGTGGTAAGAAGATCAGAAATTCAGTCATCCTTGGCTGCTTAGCAAGTTAAAGGCCAGCCTGGGGTATTATATAAGATTTTGTCTAGAAAAAATCACCGAAGGAAATTTACACATTATGAGGGAAAAGAGAGAAAAGGTATTATTCAATCAAATACAGAGAAAGTACTCCAGAAAATTTAGGAAATCTTGGAAAATTTGGAACTAAAATTTTCTCATTTTTATTAAAAAATATACATTAAACAATTTTGGGGACAATGTATTAAATGATGAACTACTTAAAACTTTCCCTTTAAGACCATCCATGAATCAAGAAGGCTTGTGATTAACAGTTCCAGTCAAAATTTCTTGAGGGCTACAAAGAACATTATAGCAAGAAAAATGAAGTAAGAAATTAGGGGGAAGACATAAACATTATTACCAGATAACATGATATCAGGGGATCATTAAAGAGCATTTCACTAGAACCAGTGAATGAATTTAGGAAGATTGTTGGAAACAAGTTAGAAGCATGGACTGAATTTTTTTCCATGTGTCATCAATAATCAATTGAAAAGTGAAATTTGAAAAAAATCACATAGCTATGAATAAAATGGGTAAGAAACTATGAAATATTATGGTAAGAAATGAAAGGACCCTAAATATTTTGATTGATAAGCCACATCATTAGAAACCTGATGTAAGGATATATCTTCTCAAATTAATCTGAGGGTTCAGCACAATCACAATCAAAATCTCACAAGATTTTTCTTGTGGAAATGATGTGCTGATTCTGAAGTTCACATGGAAATGTAAAAGGACAGACAGAAGCCAAGGCAATCTTAAGAAGAACAGTGAAGGTAGAGACTTTACCAGATATCAAGATTAATACAGAGTAATTAAAATGCTGTACTCCTGAGGCCCAGATAGGAAAACTAATCAGAGGGAAGTGAATAGAAGGGAAAACACACATATTCTGCCACCCATTTATATAAAAGAGTAGACTGTAGCTGGTAAGGAAAAGCCTTTTGAGTAAATGGTGCTGGGTAAACCAATTGTAGTTATTTCCCTGTGGTCATCGCACTCTGAATTCAGCCTTCTTTGTATCTCAGTTTCTCTTCCCACAATCCAAGAACTAATAACTCTGACCACAATAGGGTATGTGCAGCAGTATGAGACTGTGTTTTGGCCTAACCATAAACACTCTCCCCCAGACATTACTCTTCCAGCATCCATCTGCTAAAATATAACAGTGCCGACTTGAACTCTAGAGGGAAGTGAGGACCCCAGGTTTGACCTCTATACTTTCTACCACATTCTTTTTGGAAAGTTTCATTCTCCTCTGTGCTAGAGTTGGAACCTCATTTATGCAATATCCTCTGACTTGTTTGAGGATGTCTTATAATACATCTCTTTTGTGTGTGACTACCAGTTACTTTTCGTTGCTATGATGAAATACCATGAGCAGGTAACTTACAGAGGGAGGACTTTATTTGGTCTTATGGTTCCAGAGGGAGAGTCCTTAACTTCTGGAAAGACATGGAAGTAGGCCAGCTCAGAGGATCACAGCTTCAACTAAAACACAAAGCAGAGAGAATGAGTTGGAAGTGGGCAAGACCATGAACTCTCAAAGCCTGCCTCCCAAAACATACCTCTTCCAGAAAGTCTACACTTCCTGATGATTCCATGACTTCCCCAAATAGCCAAGTATTGAAAAACTTGAGCCTCTGGGGAACCTTTCTCATTTAAAACACCACAGTGACTCTACCCAACTTGCCTCTTGATATTTTAAAAGGACATAGTGGGAATTAAACAAAGCTACAAAAAATAGGACATTCTCCTCTTTTAATACAATCCTGAAAGTGTTCTTGTATAGGCTCAAAGAGTATTGTTTTAAAAGCAGAATGACTATTTTTCAAAATCATGATTTATAAGATGAAATTAAAAATACAGTGTTTATTCTCCCTTTTAAAAGCTCTCACTGGGCCTTTTGCTAGAGACACATTGAGCTGTCAAGAAGGGACAGAGTAAAACACTGCTTTTGGGTGAAGTGGCAACTTGTGTTGTTTTACTTCAATTGGCCTTGTGACAAGAAAAAAAAAATACCAAGTTTATGAGCTAGTTGTGGCAGCACATGCCTTTAATTCTAGCACTTGGAAAGTAAAGGCAGGCAGATATCTGAGAGACAAAGGTCAGCCTGGTCTACATAGTGAGTTCCAGGCCAGCTGGCAGTACAGGGAAACCCTGTCTTAAAAAAACACAAACAAAAAACAAACAACAACAAAAAAAACCTCCACAGATGTGGGAGACAGGCTTGAGCCTAGGGTGATATTGCAACTGTCAGGGTCATGTGGTTTCCAGGAATCCAGGCTCTGTAATCTGAAACCCAGTAAGCTAATGAGGCATCCTACCCTCTATTCTGTGATAGGACGTTAAGTCTTCTGTATACTAATAGAATGATGCTAATAAGGTATCCTACTTGCTGTACTGTGATAGGGTGCTAAACCTGTTATGCTAATAAGGTATCCTACTTGCTGTGCTGTGATTGGACCACTACCCCTATATAAGCTTGTGCCTTCCTGCAATAAACCAGACCTGTGTCACTGAACCCGGTCTCCTGTGTCTGAATGCGGCTCCACTGACACAGTCTCCTCACCAGCCCTGGGGTCTGGGACTGGGCAGAAGCAGCGATGACAGGAGGCAGCACAGGGCAAGCAGAAGAGCTGCCTCAGCACCAGGGGAACAAAAGAGTGGCCTCAGCCTAGGGCAAGTGGAGGAGCAGCCTCAACGCCTGTGAGAACAAAGGAGTGGCACCCAGGAGAATGGAGGAGTGGCTGCCACTGGTGGTGACTGCACACAGAGTTTAAACATTATTCTTTGGGGCTGGGCATCAGTGGTGCATGCCTTTAATCCCAGCACTTGGGAGGCAGAGGTAGGCAGATCTCTGTGAGTTCAAGGCCAGCCTGGTCTACATAGTGAGTTCCAGGACAGCTGGAGCTACAGGGAGACCCTGTCTCAAAAAGACAAAAAAAATCCCTTGGTTGGTTATATTGACACTGGTCTTTAATCCTGCACTCAAGAGGCAGAGGCAGACCGATATTTATGAGTTTTGAACCAATCAGCGCTACATAGTGAGACCCTGTCTCAAAAAACAAAACAAAATAAAACAGAACAAAAAGTTCAAATCAAAACAACAACAGTAGCAGCAGCAGCAACAACAAGAAAACCACAAATAAATCATCAAGCAACCAATAAACACCCCCTACCCCCCAAAACCTTCTATTGCCTCTGCTACAAATTACCCATTTCCCTTTGCTCAGTTTACCTTCACTGTTTGTACAAGCTGTTTGTACAAGAATCATGACTCCAGGGAACTCTTTCTAAATCTTTGATTATGTTAAATTATCCTGTTACAAACCCACTTAGGACCAGACCTGTCTCCTTTATAATACTTGATGTATTTTTTTATAGGATTTATATGCCAAAGTTTTGCCTTTTCTACAAGATTGAACATTCATAAAGGCAAAGATCTATAATTTTTGATACTTAATATATTACCATACCTTTGATAGAGCCTGTATAATCCTGTTATCATGTGCATCATCAACAATGACGATATGTAATTCTATTGACAATGTCTGACTTATGCCTATCACTTTTTTCATCAAAAGTCAGGTTGAAGTGCTTACTTTCTAAGGGAGGATGTGGCAAAATGAATTTGTAAGTTGTAAGTTTAAATGGCAGGTAATACACTTTGGAAGTAGATAGTGGATTCCTATATATTACAGACCCAATGGTATCTTACTTCAAGCTGTAAGGTCCACTTACTCTTCCTGGTATTACCAAGGCTCTTTTGGAAGAACCAAGCAATTGAGGACCCAGAAACAGTTTCACTAATATGTTAAACTTCAGTTTGAAATGCTATTAGGTATGCTAACTATAGCTAACACAGGAATATCTAGGAATCCAATAATAGGACCCCAGGCATTTCTGGCCATCTAGTTAGTCAACTTATTAACCTAGCTATTTTCTTTCTTTTTAAAATATTTTATTTATTACTTTTATCTCATGTGTATGAGGGTTTTTACCTGCATGTATGTAAGTGCACCTGTGTTGTGCCGTGCAATGCCCATGGAGGTCAGAAGACAGTATCAGGCCCTTCTGGAACTGGAGTTACCAATGGTTGTTAGCCATCAGGTGGATGCTGGGAACTGAACCTGAGTTCGCTGCAAGAACAGCCAGTGTTCTTAACTTCTGAGTCATCTCTCCAGTCCAGCCTAGCTATTTTCTAACCTCACAGTATGCCCATGAATTTTGCACGATATAGTTGCTTAGTTTCTACTTACACCAGCACAGTGATTTTCTATACTAGCTGAGTTGATGAAGGACTGCCTGAGAGCTGTGAAAATTCAATGATGGTGTAAGGGATGCACTGGTTATGAGGCAGAGGTATTTGTAAGAGCAATAAAACCTTGAAGTAGCTCAAGGATTTATATGTAGGTTTTCTCAGTCTATTCTACAGAGATATTTTGATGCTAAGCATGAAGCAAATTCAAAATTTGCTTACAGCTTCTAAATAAGATGCAAATGTTTAAGGTGGAAATGGCAAGTCTACAAAACGGATTTTTATCCTCATAGTAGCAGACTTTCAAGTAGAACCAATTCTGCTAATAATGGTAATAAAGCAGCAACAATACTTTCCAGGCTGATTACTGCCTGGCACTATAATGGGCATTTTCACACATATTAGTTCATTGAATCCTAATAACAGCCTGTGAAGAAGGAGTTATATTCCATTTTTGTAAATGTGGTGGTGGTTGAGGCATAGAGAGGTGAACTGACTTTCCAAAAGGTATTAGAGCATACAGCAGAATTGACATTGAGCAAAACTGTTATCACTTAGATGTTCAGACAGCAAAATTCTGTATTTATTTGTGTTATTTGATTCTAAAAATCAAGAGAGATACATTATGGATACCTTCCAAGATCTCTAGGACAAAAGAGCACTATTCTTATAACTCTTATGTATGTTTAAAATAACTATATACTAAAAAAATTAAAACTTTAGTTGAGTCTTAGTGAAAATGATATACACAAATATACAAAATTTATGTAAATGGACATCTCTTCTCTTGGGTTCCTTTGAAAATATAGCCTGAGCCATATCCTTGTATAATTAGTTTAAGAAGTAATTTCAGGAGATAGGAGTATTTGATGGGGGAGTTAAAAGAAGAAGAGAAATAAGTGAATTAAAGATAACTTTGTGGTTGTTTGGTTACTGTTGATCATGCCAGAACCCTTCTGAGGAACCTGATGAAATGTCACGAGGAATGGCCATTCAGGGCATGCAAGGGAGAAGGATTAAATATTGACATTCATTCCACATTGGCCAAGAGTAGTCCCATAAATACTGACATGCCTGAGTTATACACCTAAGTGCCACCAGCTCTCTGCCAGTGTCTTAGAACAGTAGTAAAGGTGTTCCTGAAGCCCAGGGCAATGCTGTGCACTTGCTATTTCATATCCTGGGAAGTTAAGGTGGGGAGGAGTGCCTGCAGTCCAGGAATATTAGGCTTGCAGGAGCAACAGAAGGAGATTCCATTTACACAGTAGCATTTTATTGAGAGTTTTATTCATGATGGCTGCTGTTTTTTGAAATCTTAATTAATTTACCTGGCATGCAATTTTAAACTTCTTAGCATCACGCTTCAATGTTTTGATATGTACTATTGATTCTGTTGCAAACTTTAGTAGACAAAGGGCTTTAAATATTAAATAAATGTTCTTGAGCAGAAAGAGATTGTACATTATGCTATGTGCCATGGCCAGCAAGACATTGCCAGGTTACACCTGTGAGAAGCTGAGCCAAACTTGCCACAGAGGGTGCAAAGATCAGCAGCAGCACATGGGAGGATTCCAATGCTGTAGTATACTCTTTTAGGAACACATGCTGTTAATGTGTGGATTTGGGTGGTAATTATTAGGTACATAAGGATTTTTTTTTTCTAAAAATGATATTAAAGCTTTGAACCAATGTATTATAATTAAAATATTTCTTAGGCCGTCTAATTTTTTCCTCATTATGTTGCCATAGAAACATAGCATAGCTCACTGTTTAATTTGAGTTCCAATTGTTACAGGCTATTTCTGATTTTATTATTAAGAGTATATAAAACCAGCATTATTTGGTCTTCATGCTCACTAAATATATAAAACTCAAATTAATTTAAGAGGGTGGTATCTTATTTGAATGTGTAAGCCTATTTCTTAAGGAAGAGAGTTCATTAACTGATCTGTTGGGGAACCCTGCTGTTAGGGTTGTAGTCTTCCATGTCCGGATAGCTCTAAGGGGATCAGCGCCATATGGAAGGACTCCCCTTCTCAGCAGGGGGCCTCCTGCTATCTTCCTGACTTACCTGGAAAGTGCCACCAAGCACGGATGCCTGACCTTATTTGTAACATGATCTTTGGCATAGTTACCTGGAGTAAAAACTACCCCCAAGTTTTTTTCTATATGATAATCAGGCATTGCCTGGTAGTCGGACGATAGGAGCCTACTGCCACATGTAAATAAAGCATACTATGAGCACCTATCAGCTGAGGCATTGGCTACTGCCTCCACACTATATTTCCCATAGTTCTCCCACTGAATAAAAAGAGCTGTTTCACTGACTCTGGAGCTGTTTCACTGAGTCTGGAGCTGTTTGCATCATTGAACCTGCCTCCCCGGAAGGGCTTTCTTCCATCAGTGCTCACTGGCCATCCTGATCCCGCTCGTTGCTTCTGCTCCCTTTGTCCTCGTGGACCGATGGCCAATGACCCACAAGGAGAGGGAGTGACCCCACACTGATCTGTAGAAGATAGGCTTAACTTTGAACAAACTTTTAGTATTTAAAAAGTAGAAAAATTATCAGTTGTAAGTTGTTGATAATTCAAATAGATGAAATGAGTTTAGTGGAACAAACACTGGCATTATAGTCAGAAAACCTGGGTTGTACTTTTTGGGCTTTACTATGTAAGAACTGTATGATCTGACCATGTAGTTTAAACATTCCTTGAATCTCGTTTTTTTTTATATATATATATAGAAAAAT